TTCTAAATTATGGATGGGGCGTGGCCTGACGTCCCCGCCTCTGCATTCTCAGGCTTCGGCAGCTTTCTGAGTCAGATAGAAACACTGGACTGTTTGTCTCAACTCCGCAAATTTTATTTAGAAAAAAATGATGGGGTTTGAAAAAAGTGACACCGCTCACTACGTACGGACCTAGAAGCCTCCACCCTTCTGTAGCTCCTTAGTCTCTTCTTTCACTGTCCAACCTCCCTCGATTTCTGGAGCAGAGAAAAGGTCAAGTGCCTTGACGAAGCAGAGTGGACGGTGAAGGTGCCTGAAAACGGCCAGAGAAGAGCCCCAGGCGATCGATGTTGCGGTGGAGAACACTGTGCAGCACAGCCAAATGGGGTCCTCCTTCCCCTCCGCCCTCCCTGGAAAAGTCCCGGATGAAGCGGCCCCGCTCAGACTGGAAGATGAACTTCTGGGGCAAGGGCCCATGCTCCCGGAGGAAACCCCAGACACTAAGCAGCAACAGACGCACTTCAAAAGGTGCCAGTTGGCTAAATACCTCGTGCATATTACCCAGGGCTGGTGGCAAGAGGCTTCCCTCAGCCATGACAGCCACCAGGGTGCAGGATGCCTCCAGGTGCCAGGGGGAGTGGGCTGTATCAGGGTGTCGAGAGGCTTCCCAGTGGCTCAAGAGGGCAGCCAGCAGCCCCCGCAGCAGCACAGAGCAGTAGCACAGGGCTGGGGGAGCAGCTGCTACCAGCTTCAAAAGCTCAAACAGAAGGGGTTGTTCCCGGAAGCGCCGACCAATGCGGAGATCCCGCTCCACAGTGGCCCGTGCATGATCCTCTGGGGGCCAGGCCAGTTCAGCACCAGCTGCATCAGGACACACGCTCTCCACTAAGGTCACTGCAACTGCTTTGGCTGCCTCTGGGCTCAGGGTGGGAGCCCCCCAGCACCCCTCGCACTCACTGCCCCCAGGAGCACTGCAGCAGTGTACTAGAAGGCTAAGGAGGCTCTGGGTGTTATAGATAACTTCCTGATGGTTTCGAGACTGAACAAGCTTAGGTGGCTTTAAGCCACGGCCGATGACTCCAGCGTGGAAAACTGACCAGATCCCTCCAGGGCCTGGCACAGCTGCAGTATGCCTCCGGTTAATGTCCAACAAAGAGGCAGAAGCCAAAGGGGTGGAGACAGCCGAGAGAATCTCATTGTCCCCATCCATTTCCCCTCCAAACAGTTCTGTGTTGCCCCGATGTAAGGCTCCCTCAACTAGCAGCTGCAGGACAGCCTTGAGCCCAGCTGGGGACGTCTGAGAAAGGCGGGTAAGAAGCTGGGAGGCTGAGGCCACGCCAGGAGGGCCATGCAGCCTTAGAGAGGCAAAGAAGCGATGCACCCCAGCTCTCACTAATCCCAAAAGCTGGGAAGGGGACAGGGATTCTGAAGGAAAGGGACATATTGCCAGGAGGGAGGCAGCAGCTTCAGCTACTTCCTCCTCTGGATGTAGCAGAAGAGGAGCCAGATCAGACAGGTGGGCTGAGGCTGACTCCCCAAACCGGGCCCCTAAAGCTGAAGGGCCCTCACCACCCTGCTGTTCCCAGCCCACCAACAAGGCCAAATTGCGCAGGAACCGGGCTGTGAAAGGAGGCTGTAAAGTCCCTGCGTGCACTCTAGCCAGGCAGCTCCGGAAGGCCAGCGGAAGAAGGCCAGAGAGGCTGACCACTAGCCCTGCGTATAGCTGTGTTGCCAAACTCAGCTCTTCAGGGCTCCGGGCTCTGCTCAGTAAATGGCCCAACGCCTCAGGTCCACAGCTAGGTCGAGTATAGACAGACAGCAGGCCCAGGAGCTGGTGCTGCCAGAGGAAGCGCTTCCGTTCCAGCCGTAATGTCTCTCCACACAGCTCTCCAACATGGTTTCTTAATGCATCAAGAAAGGGCACTGGGCGAGGAGGTGGGGGCGGGCCCAGCACCCCTTCTCCAGGAGACCCTCCCCGATGATGAACCAGTTTTTGTAGATGTAGCAATAGCAGCTGGATTAGCCGGTCGCAGGCCTCTCTCACAGTGTCTGGCACAGCCAGGCCCTGGGTAGTAATGACTGAAGCAGGCATGGCTGTATCCACTAAGAACTGCAGCAGGCGGTAGGCACCAGCCCCAGAGGCCTGGCTTACCAGATGCACAGCCAGGTTTAGCATGTTGTCCAGCTCCTCTCTGGGGAACCCCTGGAGGTGTTGCTGCAGCTGGCTTAGCACAGCTGGGGGCTTGAGGCAGTCTACCAGTTCTCCAGAGACTGTGCCGAGCAAAGCTGGTGACATGACTGCCAGCTGCAGGAGGAAAGGAACTGTGGCCTGAAGGGAGGGCTCCCCATTGCGGCTCCCAGTACCTCCTGCCAAGCTCTCATGAAACATGCGCAGGAGTTCCCGTCGGATGCTGTCTCCGTGGCGAGAGGCCAGATGCCCTAGGATGCCTACAACTGAGGCAATCTTGGGCACCCGTTTTTCCCCAGGGATGACAGGAGATCCAGGGAAGGGGTCTGTAGATGGGGTTTGAGAAGAGCTTCCACCACAAGCACCAGCTCCTCCTCCAGCCCCACTATGGACACAGAAGTCCTTAAGGCCACAGGAGAGGACTCGGGAGATGATGGTGCCAGGAAAAGAGGAGCCAATATGGGCCACAACCCAGTCAAAGTGTGGAGAATGCTGGACAGAAGTGTCCAGCAAGGCATCCACACATGCATCTGGGCAGCTACCAATGAGAGCTGAGAGGCACTGCACATAGATGTCCATTAATGTGCGGGTGGCCCTACAGCCCATCCAGAGCTGCAACAGTTCATTGAGAGAGCCAGTGGCATGGGGAACACGCTGATGCTGACCCGAATATGTACTGCTCAGTTGTCCCATAAGGTCAATGGACCATGCACTAATCACAGGTGCCCAGGCCTTTGGGTTGGCCCGGATAAACTCACATAGCACCTGCTGTACTTCATGCACCACATCCTCTAAGCCAGGTCCACCAGCAGGGACATGGGAGGGTGGAGGTGGACGGAGGTGAGGTGGACCAGCCACAGGACTTTCCTCTAGGGCAGCTAGGTGTGCCCGGACACTCTCATCAAAAACACCTCTCAAGTGGTCCAGTACAGCAGCCCGAGCAGGTGGCAGAGAACGCAGCAGGAGAAGACCACATCGAGCATGTTCACGAGCCGAGAGCTGGTGGCCCAGAATGGGGTCTACACCCGTCAGAAAAGCCTTGATTTCTTGGGACAGCTCCTGGGCACTATAAGGAAGCAAAAGAATTGACTCAGAACATTGGGAGATATTAGGAGAGTCACATTCCTTCCAAGAGCTTTGGTTTGTTTTATGTATAATAGGGTAAAACATCCCTCATAAGCATTTATAAAGGTTCAGAAGCATACCCACTCCTGGTTCACCTTAGTCATTCCGTAAATGCTGTTCTTCTTGCAACAACGAGCATAGCACATTACCTTTCAAATATCCAGGTATCTTTTTTTCTTTTTCAGTGCTAGGTATCAAACTCAGGGCTTTAGGCATTCTAGGCTAGAGCTCTCTCACTGAGCTACATCCCCCACCCCACTTTTAAGTACTTTACCAGTATTTTTTCAGTCAGTCCTGACAACAATATGGTTAGACTATTATGATCACATTTTACAGATAAAGAAATGAAAGAAATCAGGCTGAATGCTCCAAAAGGGCAGGGATTACTTGTTTGCTCTTAAAATACAAGAATTCCTGGGCTGGAGTAGTGGCCAATGCCTTTAATCCCAGCACTTGAGAGGCAGAGGCAGGTGGATCCAAGTGAGTTTGAGGCCAGCCTGGTCTACATAGTACATTACAGGACAGCCAGAGCTACAAAGTGAGACCCTGTCTTGAAAATAAATAAACAAATAAACTCACAGAATTCTATTTTATCGAGGTGCTAGTATATGGAAAATGCTCAATGAAGATTTGATAAATTAAGTAAATATATTCTGGAGTTCTATACCTCCTTTAACATCTTCCAGCCCCCTCTACAGCACAAGCACCCTGAAATCTCTTAAGAGCCAGAAAACTGTAAACCCTTTTCTAAAGCTCTCCCTCCCAAATGAGTGCCTTCTCATATTGTACAAAAATTCTGCCACACTTGGTGGTACAGGCCTTTAATTCCAACACAGATCTCTGTAAGTTCAAGGCCAACCTAGTTTACATAATGAGTTCCAGGACAACTAGATCTCTCTATAGAGACCCTGTCTCAAAAAATGAGAGTCCTAAGCGCAGACTAACAATTAACCACCTTCAGTGTGCTGAGAATCATGAGGAGGGGTGTCACAGGGCACAGATGAGCAAGCCTTTCAATCCTTCCCCTCCCCACATATATAAGCTCTGTCTTAGAGGTTCAGAAAGCTAGGTTGAAAGAGGAAGTGAAACCCCCTGCCTCTTACTGTCTTTTCTGTCAAAGACAACAGCATTCTCTGGGCTAATAGGGTTCTGTGCCACCCCTCTGGTTCAGAAACAAAAAGGCACCTCAAAATGAGGGAAGTGTGCAAAGGGAAGGCTAGCACAAATACTGAGGCTCCGAGCCTTGGTTCCCAAGACACACTCCATGGAGTCTGAGCCTCCTCGAAGCAAAAGGGGCAGAGGGAGGCTAGGTTCTCAGGAGTCCTGATGTCCCCAAGTGCTGGCAGAGCAAGGCCGGCATAAGAAGCCATTGAGGTCTAGGGAGAGGCAGAACCAAGGGCAGGGCAAGGCAGGCAGGCAGTGCAGCCCAGAGTTTTTAGTGAGGCGGTCCCTGAGTTCCGGGAGGACGCGACCAGAATCTCTGAGAACCCTGACGCGAGTTCTCCAGGTAGGATCCGGCTTTCTGTAGAGAAGGCTGGGCATCGGCGCGGGGTCGCGCGATGAGGGGGTGGGGTACCAGGGGCTCTGACTACCTGAGAGGCGCGGGACCGTGGGTGGCGGGGGCAGGCCCGGGTGGCCCTGGGGCCCCGGGAGGGTCGCACAACGCGGACATCCCGGAGCCCTACCCGGAGCCTGAGGCGGGAGCGGCGAAGCACAGGCGACGCATGCGCGCTGACTGGAAACGCGACAGAAACCAGCGACCCCGCCTCTCAGGAAAATCAGTCCGGCCAAGTCCGAAGCCCTAGTACTTTGGTTCCGTGTCGCATCGGTCACAGCAGGTAACAGGCTTGCCCTCCTCGCAACCTTCTTCCCCACCCCCACCCCCGAATGGCCTCTTGACACTTGAAAGCTGCCGGGGACCTTGCATTCGCAGTGCGACCTAATTAATTTTCCTAACAGCAATAGTATTAACGTGCAACTCATGAGCATTTAAAAACGGAAGCACGGATCCGGCCCTTCCAACTCAACGCCTGTGATCCCAGCACTGGAGGTCAACCTGGTCTACAAACTAAGACTTAGGCAAGCCAGGGCTTCATGATGAGACACTGTCTCTCAGATTTTTCCCCCTTTTCTTTCTTTCTTTCTTTCTTTCTTTCTTTCTTTCTTTCTTTCTTTCTTTCTTTCTTTCTTTCTTTCTTTCATTCATTCTTTCTTTCTTTCTTTTTTTTCGAGACAGGATTTCTCTGTGTAGTTTTGGTGCCTGTTCTGGAGCTCGCTCTGTAGACCAGGGAGATCACAGAAATCCTCCTGACTCTGCCTCCCGAGTGCTCGGATTAAAGGCGTACGCCACCACCGTCCAGCTCAGATTTCAAAACAAAACAAAATTTAATAGTGTAGCGTGTTTCTCTTTTGTCAGCCTGCTTGTTACTTGCTTGTAGAGATGGAGTCTCATGAATTTAAACTCCTGATCCTCATGCCTCTCTCCCAGGATTTCAGGCATGCTACCATACCTAGCTTTTGCTTTTGTTTTAGAATAAAACTGCTCAGGCTGTTCTGTAATTCTTTGCTCTAGTGCTCTTCCTCCCTGAGCCTCCAGAGTAGCTGAGACTAGACGGTTACCACTGCCCCGGCTTACTATGGAGCTTCTCACCCTTAAAGAGTTTACGATCTAAGGGAGTTTGGGTTTGGATTTATGTGTCATTGTTGGCAATATAACCATGAACAAGTGGCCTAGCTACCTGGAACCTATTTCCTCATCTATAAGATGAACATGACTTCTCTGCCTCACATAGTATGTAATAAGTCACTTATGCAAAATTCTTGTTTGGTATTTTGTTTTTCGAGACAAGGTTTCTCTGTGTGATCCTGGCTGTCCTGGAACTCACTCTAGACCAGTCTAGCCTCAAACTCAGATCCACCTGCCTTTGCCTCCTGAATGCTGGGACTAAGTGTGGGTGCCACCACACCCAGTCTAAAGTTCTTGATATAATGCTGGATACAGAAACCCTTCTGAATAACAAGAGTCAGTTTGAAAGGACTAGAGAGATGGCTCAGTGACTGCTCTTCTGAAGGACCCAGGTTCAATAACCACCCCCACATGGTGGCTCACAACCAAGTCTTAACTACAGTTCCAGGGATTAGATTCTATTCCTAAAGATAGCCCCCAAGGTCCATTCCCTTATTTGGCCTCTGACTCATTCCTGAGACAAAACACCAAGGTTCAACAATCAAAATTCATTATTTGGCTAACATGTCCCAATCAGAAGTTACCAACTCACCCTCGTCCAGATGCCCCCATTTTCTCCTTAAAATCCACTCCAGCAAAAAGAAAAAAACAAAAAAACAAAAAAACCTGCTGCTACTGCTGCTTGCTTTCTGCCTTTGCCCAATCCAGAGGCAGCTTCCCCTACTGATTGCCCCTCTGGGGTACTCAATCTCCTTTTTGCTGAGAATTTGGTGTCTGGGTGTGTCCTATAAAAGGCTGCCCTCCCTTACAGGCTTATCCTCTTCTGGCCTCCAAAGCATTAGGCACAAAAGTAGTGCACATATATACATGCAGTCAAAACACCTGAACATACTAAAAAAAAAAAAAAATTAAGTTTTTCTAGATCTTGAATCCTCACCTGTCAAATAGGTATACTGTAGTGGAACTGATATGATCATTGCCGTCATGAATCAGAACAGCTACCCACATGAGACCCTATCAATATTTCCTTATAGGAGGTGTGTGCTGGTCATTGGCCCCTCAAATGAGTCTATCCACCATTCCCACTACCACCTCCAACCACAGCAGTGTATAATCTTGTCCCAGCTCCATGTAGTCTTGGGAACTGCTGGAACGTACAAGTGAAAAGTTGACTGGCGTTAACTGGAAAGATTCAGCTTTCCTGACCTGCCACTTGAGCCAGGGTGCAGCTTTTTGGTGATGCAACTGCCCAAGAGTCACTCACACCCCTGTTACACAGACAAATAAAAACAATAAATACAGCCTGGTGGTGGGAGTGCACACCTTTAATCCCAACACTCAGGATGCAGAGGCAGGAGGATCTCTGTGACTTCAAGGCAGGACAACCAGAGTTTCACAGAAACCCTGTCTTGGGGGTTGGGAGGAGGTCAGAACAAAAAACAAATTCTTGATTCACCAAACTGGACTTTGGACTTAGATAGAATCATTTTGATTTGTCAGTCCAGGCATTTCTGTGTCTCTCTTGGATATATTTATATTTTAAGGGTATTGTTGTATGGTTAATGAAGTAAAAATATAAGAAACATCTGGTAACTATTAAACATTTTTTAAAGATTTGTTACTAATTTTTTAAATTTTTTTGAGACAGGGTTTCCCTATGTAGCCCTGGCTGGTCCTGGAACTCACTCTGTAGACCAGGCTGGTCTCGAACTCAGAGATCTGCCTGGCTCTGCCTCCCAAGTGCTGGGATTAAAGGCATGTGCCTTTGCTGACCATCTTGTTTTTATTATTTTCAAATTATATGTATATGAACATGCCTGTGTGTGTACATATATACACAAATGCAGGTGTCCTCAGAGTCTAGAAGAGAACCTCTGACACCCTGAAGTTGGAATTACAGGTAGTTGTGAGACACGTGACATTTGGGCTGGGGAGATGACTCAGCGGTTAAGAGAGCTCTTGCCACTCTTCCAAAGGACCCGGGTTCAATTCCCAGGACCCACATGGCAGTTAACAAATGTCTGTTACTCCAATTCCAGGGTATGTGACATCCTCACACAGACATATATATAGGCAAAAAACTCCAATGTCAGCCTGGCAGATGGTTGTGTACACCTTTAATCCCACTACTTGGGAGGCAGAGGCAGAGGGATCTCTGTGAGTTTGAGGCCAGCCTGGTCTACATAGTTTCACGATAGGCTCCAAAAGCTGCACAGAGAAACCCTGTCTCAAAAAAAAAAAAAAAAAAAAAAAGAAAAAGAAATAGAAAAAAGAAAAAAAGCCAATGTACATTTAAAGAGAGGTGCATGACATTTATATACAAGTTCTTTGGGGGTAGAGTTGGCTCAGTGGTTAAAAGCACTCACTACTCTTGGAGAGGACTAGGGTTCAATTCCATCCACACATGGCAGCTCCCAATTTAATTCCAGTTCCAGGGGACCTTATGCCCACTTCAGGCCTCCTTGGGCAGAAAACAAAGCAACAATAAAATGTTGTCTGGAGTAATGATTCAGTGATTAAGAACACTTGGTGCTCTTTCAGAAACCCATGTTCAGTTCCTAGCACCTACATGGCAGCTCACAATGTCTAACTCCAGTTCCAGCCTCTTCTGGTCTCTGCAGACACCAGGCATGCACAGTGCACATGGTGTACAAACATTCATGCAAGCACAAGACTCAAACACATAAAATAGAATCTGTTATTGGCATTTAGTGGAGAAGGAATGGAACATTAGAGGATTGCTGCAAGCCATGTCTCATTTTTTAAAAATGTTTTGCTTTGTTGTTACATTTACTATGTGAATGGGGGAACATGCTTGACACAATGCAAGTGTGGAAGCCAGAGGACAACTTTGGAGAGCTGGCTCTCCTTCCATCCCTGAGACTGAGACCCTAACAGGGATGGAACTCAGGTTGTTGATGTCAAGCGCTATTATCATTAGCCTCCATCTATTTAGATGTTTGCAATGGTAAAAGTCTGGAAAGGGGGCTGGGCATGTCTCATACCCATAATCCCAGCAGTGTGGAGGCAGAAGAATCACATTTCAAAACAATCCTGCCCACATCCTCCACCAAAAAACAAAAACAAAACAAAACAAAACAATCCTGGAACATATAAAGCTTCAAACACAAAGTCCTCAGAACTGGCTTCCTACAGCAAAAGTGCTGACAGATATACAGGCCCTCAGGATGTAGATGGCACAATGGCTGCCTAGAATGAATGAGGCCATGGGTTTGACTCCTAGAACCACCACCATCACCAGCAAAAAAAAGAAAAAAAACTGTTTGTTACTATAATCCCAGGCCACACAGGTATAGTGTCAAAACTACTCTCAGGATTATTACCTCCCTACCTACCATCCTGTATTTTTCAGAAATGGAAAGATGGGGACCACTGAAGAAGCCACCTAGTTTCTTTTATAGATCGGGTTTTACTATGCAGCCCTGGAACTCATAGGTAGACCAAGCTGGCCTAGAACAGAGATCCGTCTGCCTTTGCCTCCAAAGTGCTGGAATTAAAGGCGTGTACCACTATGCCCTGCACCATCTAGTTTCTTAATGCATTGCTCAAGTACACTGTGTACCTTGCTTCTGAAATAGCACTCAAAGACCTTTTTATATGGCCCATTCCCATTCTTGCACTTATTCACACATGACAGTCCAAGCTCCAGGGCTTTATTACAAAAGGAGCTGCGGCTAGAGACAGCCCTCTCCAGTCTTTTTCTGTGTCCTCTTCCCTCCCAATATATAGCTCCAGGGGAGGTCAGTGGGTCATTAAGGAAGGGGTGTCTGAGAGAGTGAAATATGGTAGTTATTTTCTCCAAAGTCCTCCAAATTCTGGCTGCTGGCTGAATTCTTCTTCTGGCTGCTGTTGAGAATCTTCTAATAAAAGAAGTAGAGACTTTAGCTCTCATCCCCAAGATCCTCCATGTCTACATCCTGGGGAGCTTTTATCTTCTTTTGTCGTTTGGGCTGTGGCTCACTCGTCCTGGTTGACTTGGAAGGGGCTTCCACTGAACAAAGGGAAAGAAAAGAAGCAGCGTTGTAAGAACCCAGGTAAAATCCAGACTCCCTTCATGGAACCTTTGTGCCCTAGACATACCTTCCATGGCTGCTTTTTCTTTCTGGGCAAGGCGAATTTGCTGCAGGAGTTTCCTGCGCTTCTTCCCAGATAGCGTGATGTTGGCACGTGCACTGGACCTGAATGACGGATAGGAACAAAGATACCCAGGTTAATCGGAACAAACCTAAGCCACAAAAGTGATCCTATCGGCCGGGCGGTGGTGGCCCACGCCTTTAATCCCAGCACTCGGGAGAGAGCCAGGCGGATCTCTGTGAGTTCGAGGCCAGCCTGGGCTACAGAGTGAGTTCCAGGACAGGCTCCAAAGCTACACAAAGAAACCCTGTCTCGATAAACCAAAAAGTAATAATAATAATAATAATAAAATAAAATAAAAGTGATCCTACCTTCATAGAACTTGAATTTGTATCCAAAATTCTTTGTGTACCTTTGAGAAAATTATACTAATTGTTCGCACTTATGTGTGCACTTTTATTTCAAAAATCTAAGTTCATGTAGATAACCATTGGAAGGGTGGAAGAGTCGACAATCTTCCTTAGTAGAATTGAAACCAAAAACCCCTGTGAGCAACAGTATTGTGAGAGGCTGGTGGTTTGCGAACTACCATAACTGTCAACTAGTTCCTGCTTAAACATGAGAGAAAAGAGAGCAGGAAAATCGGAAAAGTCTGAGCTGCTCTGAAGCTTTGTAGGAAGGAAGTAGGAATGACCGCTCGGAAGGGGCTAGTACCGTACTCACGCCCGCTTCTTGAGATGGTGCCTCGTAGTCAGCCCTTCGTCTATAACGGCCCCGACCACCTGGCGCTTCCGTCGCCGATCCCTGCTCAGCACCCTCCGGCGCTTGAACAACTTCTTCTTCAGCTCCTGAAGGAGAAAAAGACACGCATCAGAGTAAGGTTATGCACGCCCACTCGGGATCCCCGCACCCGGCTGCCCCAGACACCACTGATCCTGTCCCGGGAGAGGAAAACGCTCCCGGGAAGCCTGGGGCAGCAAAAGCGCAGCTCCCAGAATCACCGTCCGTGGACGATTGATCTTTCCTCCGGGAGGTCCCATAGCCGAACTCGGAGGTTCACACGTGGAACCGCACTTCCGCTCCGATCTCAGGTTCGGCCAAGAGCAAAAGGCTCCGCCCCCGGCACCCGCGGACCAATCGCTGCTCGGCGGAAGGCTCCAGACCTATATAAACGAGTTACGCGCTTCTACGGGTCTTTCGAAGGATCGTTTTCGCGTAAGTCTCTTTAGATTGTGGGTATTTGGGTGCCGCTGGGGTCTAGGCCTGACCTTGTAGACCCTCCATTTCTTGGCGGGGATCGGGCGTACCATCCTGCTCCCCGTTATGTACGGAGGCAGAAGGAAAGGGCTCCGGCCCTCTCGGCGTTATGTCTTCGGTGCCTGCGGCTTCCCGTTCGCCGGTTCTATCCTCAGACGCCGGGACACCACTCCCTACGCAGAAATGTAGCCAGACCCTGCGGTCCCCTCTGTGCGATAGTCACGCTCTTTTATTTTGATTTCAGGTCTGTGGACGTGACGCCCCGGGAGTGATAGCTCATGTTTTCCTTCGCGGTTTATTGTTGAACCAATAAAGTCAGTGAACCCTAAGAGCCCTGTGTGCGCTTCCTTTCTTTCCCGAGACTCGGAACTTGTCTATGTTGGGAGTGCGCGTGACAGTTCACTGAAGATCCGCTGGTCGATCTTGTGGGGACCTCGGATGTGAGTCTTTCGCGGGGTGGGGGGCGGGGGGATCTTAAACCTGCAGTTCATCCTATGGTAAAAGGCCCATCGTAATCATAGAACCAACCTGGGTAGCACGTCCTTCCACCCCTGGCCAGTAGTCTGGCCGACTGAAGGCTCTGAGACTGACTTCACTCACAGCAGTGCTTAGGCAGTGACCCCACCTTCTGCTTCTTTGCAAGGCAATCCAGGGACACTTTTTAAACTGCTGTAGGGGCAGACTGTCCACTGTGGGTATTGGATGTGAGCTATGAGGTCTCAAGCCTGCACAGGCCTCCGCTTAACCCTGCCGAGGTCCTAGGGCTGGACTTGGTTCCTGTGGCGGGGCCCATATGAATAGCTTTATGCAAGGAGGCCATGGCCAAACATGCTGCCTCCTGCCTTCGCTTTTTTCTCTGCTGGGGTGGGGAGTGGATCCAGACAATGGTTTCTCTGAAATCCAGGCTGGCCTTCAACTCAGAGATCTGCCTGTCCCTACCTCCCAAGTGCTGGGATTAAAGACAGAATGTGGGAGCCCTAGCATCCTCGGGTTTCCCAGGTGTTCGGGAATACTGTTGTCAAGGATTGTCTAGATTACCCTGATGTTGAACTAATCTGCTTGGAGTGAAAATTCAATGGCTGGACTGAGTGTAGGAGTTAGGCCTTTTAAGAGCATTATCTACTGTGCTTATTAAGTTTTCTCAAAGACGTTTTCTTAACCCTACCATTTTCTGTTGGGAAAGGAGAGTTTTGCGATATGAATAGCTGGTAGTTGAGAATGGAATAACAGGGTTATGCAATTTGTGCCCTACTTAATAAATCTGGAGCGTGAGGGTGATACTGGTTTGTACATGTGTTGGGGCAGATACATTATCCAACTGCTGCACTAAATTGTGTGTCCTATGGCAAAATGGCTTTGAAAACAGTAACAAATGAAATGGAGAAAGAACAATACTCACCCTCAAAAGTACTGGGAGGTGGGAAATGGGAATATTCCACAAATCTGGTTCTGTAGATGCAGGACCCTGTTGGGTCCCAAAGAGGACAGGAGTTGGGAGTCTCTTGACCCTCTGTATCCTCAGGAATCCAGGAGGCATCCTCTTCTTGTTCGTGCCCCCAGCCAAGTCCAGGGTTAAATGTTCTTAAAGGAGATGTGGGGTCCTGTGGGATCCAAGCCCAACCTGGGAAAAGAGTTAACCTATGACATCTTGATATTTTAAGGATTTAGCATGTGCATGAGGTCAGAAGAGGAAATTCAAGCCTTAGAACTAGAGTTACATATGGTTATGAACTACCACATGAGTTCTGGGAACCAAACCTAGGTCCTCCGCTAAAGTGGAACTACTGAGCCAATTCTCCAGCCTCATTATTTTTCTGAGTATGAGACAGTTTTTCTCTACCTTTAACCCTAGTACTGAGGTGGTGGAAGTAGTCAGATATCTATAAGATCCAGGCCCAGCTTGCTTGTGGGGATAGGGGTCAGGGTGGTAATTTGTGTGTCTGTATTTGTATTCAATTGTGAGTACAGGTGTGGAGGCCAGCGATCAATATCAGGCATCTATCTTCCTCAATGGCTTTTCACTTTATAGTCAGGGTGTCTCTGAACCGAGAGCTTTTCAGCTAGTCTAACTAGGTAGCTTGCTTCAGGGATCTCAGCTTCTAGAGTGCACTGTGACTGCAGGTGGGCTACTGTGCCCAGCTGGTGTTTGTATGAATATTGGGGATCTGAACTCAAGTCCTCATGCAGAGCAACCACTACCCACCCACAGAGCCACTCTCCAGCCCCTTTTCCTCATGTATAGAGGGAAATTATCTCCCTATTGAGTTCTAAGAAATCATAAGGTAAAAATACTTAACACAGTGATTTGTGCATAATGCTCAAAAAAAAAAAAACCCAAAATGTTACAACAACATACAGTCTTCCATCTAAAATGCTAATTACCTCTAGATAGTTAGATATGGGGTAATAGCATCATCTACCCTCCCCAGTAACGAATTGTGTATTTTAAAATATTAAAAGTCCAGGTTACCACTAGACAAGTAAGCAAAGCCCAGGCCAAACAAGATAAATAATGACTCCTGTAGTCAGAAAGCAAAAGAACAAAACAAAAAGTGCAGATCAAGGCTAGGGCACAGCTCAGTGACAGATCAACTACCTAACATACAAAAGGCCTTGGCTTTGGGAGCCGGTGAGATAGCTGACCAGCAAAAGGCCAACTGGGGCAAGTTTAACAGTGTTTAGTCTCTAAGACCCACATAGTTGTCTTCTGACCTCCACAGGTAAGCAGGGAACACGTGCATACACTACCCATGAAATACACCTTCACACGCATGTTTTGTTTGTTTGTTTGTTTTGGTTTTTTGAGACGGTTTCTCTGTGTAACCTTGGCTGTCCTGAAACTGTCTCTGTAGCCCAGGCTGGCCTCTAAATCACAGAGATCCTTCTGCCTCCTGAGTGCTGGGATGAAAGGTGTACACAGGGTCTCAATGTGTTGTTCTGGCTGTTCTGGAACTGTGTGGATGGGGCTGGCCTCACAGAGATCTGCCTCCCTCTGCCTCTTCAATGCCAGAATTAAAGATGTATGCCACCACTGCCCAGCAACACACACACATTTTTAAAAAATGCCCTGGGTTCTATCCCAACAGCACAAACAAAGGAAATCAAAATCAAGCAAACAAACAGTAGAAAGAGTGGCACTCTGCTTGTAAGAAAACTGGCTGTTGGCCTGGCGGTGGTGGTGCACGCCTTTAATCCCAGCACTCGGGAGGCAGAGCCAGGCGGATCTCTGTGAGTTTGAGGCCAGCCTGGTCTACAGAGCGAGATCCAGGACAGGCTCCAAAGCTACACAGAGAAACCCTGTCTCAAACACCCCCCCCCAAAAAAAAAAAAAAGAGAGAGAGAAAACTGACTGTCGCACTGGCAACTTGAGTTTAGTCTCTATAACCCACAAGGTGAAATGAGAGAACTGGCCTGTAACTCACAGAAATCTGACTGCCTCCGCCTCTGCCTCCAAGTGCCTGAATTAAAGGCAGGAGCCACCACACACAGCTATGCCTTATTTATTTATTTATTTATTTATTTATTTATTTATTTATTTATTTTTTGGTTTTTCGAGATAGGGTTTCTCTGTGCAGCCCTGGATCTGTGCTGGATCTGGCTCTGTAGACCAGGCTGGCCTTGAACTCACAGAGATCCGCCTGGCTGTGCCTCCCGAGTGCTGGGATTAAAGGTGTACGCCACCACCGCCCGGCTGCCTAAATTTTTTTTAAAGACATCACTCATTACAAGATCAGAACAGCCCTCTAAACCAGGCAGGGTACAATGCCTGGGGCTCAGGCTTTTAATAATCTCAGGTACTCAGAGGCTGAAGCAAAAGGATTACCATGAGTTCAAGGCCAGCCTGGGTTACACAGTGAACTCCAGGTCAGTCTGAGTTGCAAAGTGAGACTGTCTCAAATAAATTAATTGAAAATAAAAAGGACAGCAGTAGAGTACCTCTTTAGGTTCATTCTTCAGTGTCTAAATAAAGGAACAAACAAACAAGCCAGGCATGGTGCTACAGGCTTGTAATCCCCCAATTTGGGAGGCTGAAGCCGGAAGATCTTCAGTTGGAGGTCAGTTTGAACTATAGAGTGAGACTTCTTTGAAAAACAAAAACACAAAACACCAAAGCTGTCCTCTAATGTTCATCAATGGCATCAACTGTCTAGACTCTCACCTACTTACCATATTGTGTGTGTGTGTGTGTGTGTGTGTGTGTGTGTGTGTGTGTGTGTGTGTGTTACTGGGGGTGGAACCCAGGGTCCTGTGCATGCTATTATACACTTTAGCCCTAAGCTGCACCACACCACACCTCCTATTTCTAATATTCCTGGACACCTACTGGGGGTCTGGAATGTCTAGTTGACAATGACCTGAATGAAGAAGCCACCACCCTCACCTGGCTCTTCACTTTGGTCCTGGAAGAAAGCTTCTGCTTCCTCTTCTTCACCATCAGTGAGCAGCAGCAACTCCTCGTGTGGCCACTGGTTGTCCTCCTGGTCTTCCTCATTCCCCTCTGAGGCCTCTACCACAATAGAGGGCAGGCGGGGCTTCTGAGACACCTGCATTAAGTACAGCAGGGGTGTCGGGCCCAGTTCGAGGATGAGCCAGTCCCAGGACCAGTAGTACTCACCTGAGCATCCTGGTGACCTTCGCATCTGCCAATCTCTTCTCTGTTCTTTGAGAGAGGATTCATCAACCGGGGACTTTCTGGATGCCACGAAGAGTCTTGGCTATCTCCAGACCGAGGTCCATCCTTGCTACTCCCTGGCACAAGGGCCATGATAGTGACTCTAAGAGTGCAGAGCGGTTGGATTCCAGGTCGAGCACCCCTGCGCAGTGCCCCACACAGACTAGGCTTTAATCTTCTTTGGAGAAGGCTCCTTAATCACTGCTGAGGAAAGAACGCTGACATGCTGGGAGATTATGGGCCTTCCAAGGGAGGGGAGAAGCCAAAGAGGAGAGACAGGAGCTTTATTCTGTTTACTACCTGAGACACTGGGGATAGCAGTCAAGGTAGGAAACAAGGGCATCTGGATTAAAGCCCTATAAATAAAGAGCTGTGATGGTAGATTTCCTAACTCCTTGTTTACTGGTTTTCTCAAGTGGGCTTATTTATTTGTATGTTTTTTAATGAATGTTTATGGGGCTTTTGCTATTTGACAGGAACCCTTTTTATTTATTTACCTTAAATGTATTTATTTTATAGGTATGGGTGTTTTGCCTGCAGGTATGTCTACTGCCAGAAGAGGGCATTGGATCTCTTAGGACAGGAGTTCCAGGACATGCTCCCACAGAGAAACACTGTCTCCGAGAAACAAAAACAAAAAAAAGCACAGGCAGGCAA